GATGACAGGATGATAGTTCCCCCTTCGCACTTCCAGCATCGTCCACCGTCTGATGACCGGCATGGACGCGTGGGTGGCAATTTTAAAATGAGTATGGAAATTGGATCAGAAACATATTTTATTAAGTGGCTTAGAAATGAGTAGGGTATATAAACTGACCACATGATCAACACGTCGCGATTTTTGTTATTTTATTTTCGTCAGAGTAAATTGACTCGCTATGTCTAAAGTGAATTATAAGGTCCACGAAAAAAACTGCATTACAGAACATGAACCTCGTCTTCTTTCAACCCCGTATTTCAAATTTCTGGCCAGTCCGGATACACGAGGAGTTCACGTTTATTTCACGACCGAGGAAGCATCTTCATGGTGCCTTCAAAATTTCATTAAGTATGCTGTTGATTCCGAGATTAACTTCGAACAGGCGGTCATAATATTTAGAGAGAGCTTAGATCAATTAAATCAGTTCGCATCCACGCCTAATCCGATAAAAGCATTCTGCCATAATTACTTAGAGTGGTTAAAGGTAGGCAGTATTTTTTGTTTAATAATAATATAGAAATAAAACTCAATCATCACAGTCCCGTGCAGGAATTACGATTATCCAAGAATGCCGAAAATATTTCGAAGCTACCAAATATCAAAGACAATCAGCCGTTCTCAACGACACAGTCGAGGTTGGCTGATACTTGATTTGCAGTTATGTGCACATGTCGAATGGATGTTTACGTTTCATTATCACCTTTCAGAATACACTATTACTTAACTCGAAAACAGAAATCATTCAAGCACAATTACAACCCTCGGATGCTTTGCTATCTCCAGACCCTTTATCACCTTCAATTACTATACAACTTTCAGACGCTACAGATACTTTACCACCTAAAACCCCACCACAAACACCTCGAGAATTAACATATTTATTAAATACACCAAACAAGCGTCCAATAGAGAAGGAAGAACTTTGGGAGTAAGTTTCTGCTAGTTGTGTTGCTTAGAAAACAGAAGTTATTCTAACAGTAGTTTGCTCTTCTATGTAACAGTTACACTCAAAACAATTCCGTTATATGTGCATTTGCGTTAACAGCCAAAGAATTGGAAACAGAAATTGGCACAGAACTCACCAAAGAATTGTTCTCTATGCGTGATAGAAATCCCGTTGTGTGGAATTCTGATTTAGAAGAATATATAAATGACGTTCTCAAGGAATCTGGTGAAAACTTCAAGAATGCAGTTATAAATAAGAATTATAAAGATATAGATAAAGGTTTCCGCCTATATTGTGAGAAAGTTCTCACCGACTTGTAGGTAGACATTAATATCCATTTGCCCATCAAAGTAACTGTTAACAATTGCTTTTCCTTTAGCTACAATCTTGTAGATGTTGGTCCCACTATTGATAGAAAAATAGGCGAGCGAAAGCATATAGTTTATCAAGTATCAGCACTATTCAAATTTTATGAGAGAACGTTTCTAACCTTGGATATTGATTGGATTGAATCTCACTCCCGCCCGGCAAAACTGATGAAGTCAGAATCAAATTCTGGCATTGTTCTAGTGGACGCAAAGGCGACAAGGTTTTCCGATGGGCTTGATGTTTGGCATTTAGAAGTCGCAGGTCCTCCCTATAATGCATCCAATAAACACATTCTAGGTGATTCAAAGAAAACAATTCGAACAGATATCCTAAATCTAATTACAATCTTGCGGGAACATCTTGATTGTGATATCAACCTTGCCACGAGGATAAAAGTGTTCAGTATGCTATCAATTAGTAAGTGGATCTATGTTTTGTTAGTTTTGTTAGTCACTGCAATGTATGATAACCTGTTCCTATTTTCAGATTCCCGATTAACGCTATATTCATTAAATATCCTCCGTGATGGACGCTTTCTGTCGTGTGAACTTGCCACCGCCGTCATGCCCTTCAGTTTTAGCGGACGGCATCAATATAAATCAGTTCTCAGAATGATGTCTATATTCCATGTAAGTTTTGTCTACTTTCTTTATAAATAAATATAATTACTTTAACAAAATCATCATATGATGGTATGTTTCCATAGGATGAATTAATTAAGCAGGACGAATTATTAGAAAAAATCAACGGGTCAATACTTCGTTCTAAAAATGTTACAGTACGTCAAGTGTTAAAGATACCTGAATTAGCGTGAAAAGAGTCTTTTTAAACTAGTTATTTTGTTATGATTTGATACTATAGATAATTATGTAACGTAGAAAATGAATAATAAAATAAAAAAGTGCAACACGTTCGTTTTTTGAAATAAACTATAACATTTCGATAATATTCTTGTAACAAAAAAGAAAAAGATTTCCACCAATCAAAATTCTGAAGTCTCATAAAAGTGAGAGTGCTTCTACATCTATGCTAAAAATACTACAAATTTTTACAGCTCAACGATAATATTACTCATATAGAATTAGAAAATGAGAGCACAAATCGGAAACTCAGTGTTATCACTCCTTTGGGGATGCTTTATCAAAACGTGAAATTATTATAGAAAATCTTACTATTGTTATGTTTTATTTAGTCATTGGACAACCAGCATTGGTGTATCAATAAAAATAAATAAATATTACACATTTTACACATTATATTTGCCTAGTGAATATAAATTAGTAGTCAAAATAGATAACAAAAAAAACACCACCTGTATGATTGATATAAGTTTATCAGAAGCATAGCAAAAACTCTGAAAACTATAGAAAAAGACTAGAGTTTAAAAAAATACACCTGTCTATCACTGAAAATAGTGCTTGCGGTTGATCATAATAATCTTCTCTACCTACTTCCAATTCACAGAAATGCATATTTTTATTTAACGTTAATTATTTGAGAATTATCACATTCACATCGCTTATATATTCCCTCTGCTACTTTTTTGCATGTTTTGCAATATAGATGTGAATGGTGATTGCATTCGTCACAGACCTTACATCCGTGTTTCCAGCCTCTAAAGATATGCCACTTTTCGAAGCAATTTTGTTTATCTTTACGTATGAGTATGCTATTCTGACCTTTCATTGTTATATATTGACA